GCTCCGCTGATCCCACCCGGCAGGGTCACAGATCCAGGTCCTGGGACCGCGGACAGCCTCAAGCATTGCCGCCCCACTCGTGAGAACATGGATCCAGGTGCCAGACTGCGGACAGCCTCAAGCACTGCCCCCGCCTGGCAGGGTCACAGATCCGGGTCCCAGACCGCAGACAGCCTTGCCTGCTGCCGCCTGCCTTCAGTATGCAAATTAGCCGCCATCTTGTTGCTTCAGGGTGGGGGTCCCCACTGGGGTGCCTGGCCAGTCTGGGTGAGGGGCTGAGGGCTGTTTTCAGGCTGGCGGGCGACTGAAGCTCCAAACCTCTCCTTTTTTTCTTTTTTTTTTTATTCTGGCATTTATTTACCTTCTATGGCTGTCACTGGAGCTGAGAGCCGGCTTTCTCTCTGAGGCTCGGCTGCTGAAAGCAGGTTTCTGGCCTTTGTTTTCTGTATTCGAAACAATGTTGCGACTCCAGCTCTGAGATCCTGGCTGACTGACAGGAGGTTTCTGGGGTTTTGTTTATCTTCTATAAATGTTACAATGTTTCCAACTGAAGCTCAGAGGCCGGCAAGGCAGGCGGGGGAACGTTGGAGTCCTCTGTCACTGAAGGAAGCAAGCCTCCCTGTTCGCATCAGCTGCCTGGCTGCCGGCCGCCATCTTGGCTGTCAGTTAATTTGCATATCTCCCTGATTAGCCAATGGGAAGGGTAGCGGTCGTACGCCAATTACCATGTTTCTCTTTTATTAGTGTAGATTATTTATTATTATTATAACCTACTTTTGCCCACCCCTGTATATTGTTGTTAGGTTTTATTTTTTAAAATATATTCTTATTGATTTTAGAGAGAGGAAGGCAGAGGGAGAGAAAGATAGAAACATCGATGAGAGAGAAACATCTATTGGTTGCCTCCTGCACACCACCTCCCAGGGATCAGGCCGCAACCTGATTCCAGGCATGTGCCCAGACCTGGAATCAAACCATGACCTCCTGGTTCATGGGCTGACGTTCAACCACTGAGCAGTGCTGGCCAGGCAGTGATTAGATTCATATACTATTCATGTAGTGGTATATCATCTGAATGTAGAGTGTCATAAGTGAAATATGTGCATTATACACTCTAAAATAATACAATAGTTATAGCTAATAAGCTAACAAATGAGATATTTCATAATGATAAAAAAGTCAGTTCAACTGAATGAAAGAATCCTAGCTATTTATACACCTAATAAAGAGCTTCAACAGAGAAAGACAAGTATCACATGATCTCATATGTGGAATCTAATGAACAAAATAAACTGATAAACAAAATAGACCCAGAGACATCGAAGCATGCAACAGACTGACATATTTCAGAGGGAAGTGGGGAGAGGTGGGGAAGAAATTAACCAAAGAACTTATATGTATATAAGCATAACCCTTGGACACAGTTAATAAATAGTGCAGTGAAGGCCTAGGGAGGGGGCAGGAGCAGAGCAGAGGGGCTCGATGGGGGAAATGGGGGATAGCTGTAATACTTCAACAATCAAGACACATTATTTAAAAAGAGCTTCAAAATACATGATGCAAGAATTTATGAATGAATCTTAATGTACTACTTTTACATTATAAATCCATCCGGTCACACACAGAAAATGTTTAATAAATAGCTGTTGAATGAATATACTATATACCAGATTCTTAGGTAGGTCCTTTATATATCTTATCTTCTATCTTGACAGCAACTTTGTCCAGAAGGTAGGCATTAATTTCATTTAACAAATGAGAAAACTGAAGCTCAAACCAATTAAGTATTTTCCCTAAAGTTGCATAGTTACTAACTGGTGAGCTGGAATTAAAATCTAAGCTTATCTGACTGCAAAGTCCCTGCATTTTATATCAGGTGCATGCTGCCTCAGTTCATGTTTACCTATGACAATGAAGTTGCCCTAATGGCTTTTATTATTAAACTACCATGTAAGATCTAAGTTCTACCACAGATCTATGAGATGCACTGTTAAATCCACAATGCACAGGCATAGCTTGTGGTGATTCTACAATAATGGTGAAAATATAACATCTGCATGTGGCTAATAGGTCAAGATGCTTTTACCACAATATTGAGTCATTTAAAAGGATTGCCTTTCACAAGTGTTTCATTTATTCATTCAACAAATATTTGAGACCCCTACTATGTTCTTTGAGGAATGAAAAGATTAATAAAATGGGTCCTGCCTTCAAGGAGCTTTCAATCTACAGAGTTGATGATAGATACCTAGAAAACCCTAAAACAAAGAATAAGGTGGTAAGACCATAGAAAATACAAAAGCCAAATAAAAATCTGGGAGTTCAAAGCACAGAATATGTTTCTTTAAAATATATATATATCTTATTGATTTCAGAGAGGAAGGGAGAGGGAGAAAAACAGAAATATCAATGATGAGAGAGAATCATTGATGGGCTGCCTCCTGCATGCCCCCTACCAGGAATCAAGCCCACAACCCGGGCATGTGCCCTGACTAGGAACTGTGACTTTCTGGTTCATAGGTTGACACTCAACCACTGAGACACACCAGCCAGGCCAGAATATATTTCTAACTGAAGAATCACAAGTGGGTCCATGAAGAAGGTGTCACTTGAGCTAAGCCTTGAAGACATAAAAATTCTGAAAAGTTTCATTTCTCAATGAGAAAGCGAGAGAGAGAAGACAAGACAGTGAATAAGTCAATTTTTAAAAAAATCAAGTAATATTGAAAATTCATAACTTGGTTAATATTAGGATCAAAACTTGCAGGTTAATTCAAAATAGTCTTAAGTATTACTGCTTTTTCTTATCAAATGTTATAAATAACTAGTGGCCCAGTACACGGATTCGTGCACATTGAAAGGAAATTAATTAGAAGGTGGTGGGCAGGGCAGGGAGGGGTGGGACTGGATGAGACCGGCAGGACACGCCCTGGAGCCAACCTCCCACAGTCCCTCCCTGGCCGGCCACACCTGGGATGGCGCCACTGCTCAAAGGGCGTCTGCGGAGTGAGGGGGTTGGTTCCCTTTGGCAGGTGGAGTCCATCGGGTTGGCCTGTGGAGACCGGGCCAAAACCAGCTCTCTGACATCCCCTGAGGGGTCCCAGAGTGCAAGGGGGCACTCTGCAAAGTTGCTGGTGCTTGGCAGCTCCTGCGTTGAGTATCTGCCCCTTGGTGGTCAGTTCACATCATACCTACCGGCCCATTGGATGGTCAGTCAGATGGTTGCTTAGCCTTTTATATATATACTAGAGGCCCGGTGCACAAAATACGTGCACTGGGAGTGTGTGTCCCTTAGCCCTGCCTGAATCATTTTCCAATCTAGGACCACTCGAGGGATGTCTGACTGCCCGTTTAGGCCCGATCCCAGTGGGCAGTCAGATATCCGTCTCACAATCCAGGACTGCTGGCTCCCAATCGCTCGCCTGCCTGCCTGCCTGCCTGCCCCTAACCACTTCTGCCTGTCTGTCTGATCACCCCCTAACTACTCCCCTGCCAACCTGATTGACGCCTAACTGCTACCCTGCTGGCCCAATTGCCCCTAACTGCCCTCCCCTGCTGGCCTGGTTGTCCCCAACTGCCCTTCCCTGCAGGCCTGGTCCCCCCCAACTGCCCTCCCCTGCAAGCCTCGTCCCTTCCAACTGCTCTCCCCTGCAGGCCTAGTTCCCCCAACTGCCCCCCCCCCCTGCAGGCCTGGTTGCCCCCAACTGCCCTTCCCTCCTCCCCTGCTGGCCTGATTGCCCACAACTGCCCTCCCCTGCTGGCCATCTTATGTCCACATGGGGGTGGCCATCTTGTGTGTTAGAGTGATGGTCAATTTGCATATTACTTTTTTATAAAATAGGACAAGAGGCCCAATGCATGAAATTCGTGCAAGAGCCTTGGCCCCAGCCCCTGCCCACTGCCACCACGGCTGGGGGCCTCTGCTGCCTCTGCCACAGCCCCTGCTCACTGCAGCTTTGTCTGGAAGGAAGGACATCCGGAAGGACGTCTGGTCTAATTAGCATATTATGCTTTTATTATTATAGATAGACTAGAGGCCTGGTGCACAAAATTTATGCACTTGGAGGGGAGGGTCCCTCAGCCTGGCCTGTGCCATCTCACAGTCTGGGAGCCCTCAGGGGATGTCTGATTGGTGGACGGCTTAGGCTCCCTGAGGGGAGCAGGCCTGAGCCATCAGTTGGACATCCTTAGTGCTGCCATGGAGGTGGGAGAGGCTCCCGCCACCACCACTGCACTCGCCAGCTGTGAGCCTGGCTTCTGGCTGAGTGGCGCTCCCCCAGTGGGAGCACACTGACCACCAGGGGGCAGCTCCTGCGTTGAGCGTCTGCCCCCTGGTGGTCAGCGTGCATCATAGTGACCAGTCATTCCACCGTTCAGTCGATTTGTATATTAGCCTTTTATTATATAGGATTACTACATTAGACTATGTTCTGAACATTTTTTAACCTCAATCTCTGATAACTTGATTTCTTTTTTTAAAATAATTCTTTACTGTTGAAAGTATTACATATGTTTCTTTTTTCCCCCTTAACCCCCCTCCAGCCTGCCCCTGCTCCCCACCCCAGGTCTTCAGCACCCTATTGTCTGTGTCCATGGGCCATGCTTATGTGCATACAAGGTCTTTGATTGATTATATCCCGCCCACCTTCCCCTGCCGTCCCTCTGAGATTCCACAATCTTTTCCATGCATCCATGTCTCTGGATCCACTCTGTACATCAGTTTATTTTGTTACTTAGATTCTACATATAAGTGAGATCATGTGATACTTATCTTTTTCTGACTGACTTATTTCACTTAGCATGATACTCTCCAGGTCTCTCCATGCTGTGAGAACTTGATTTCTTACAGCCAATTATTTGAGTACTGAGGAAATAGCTTTTGATACAGACTACTACTGAAGTAACAGAAATTTGTATCAGATGAAGGCAAGTGGTATAAAACACTTTCCTGAATATGACCAGCCAGCATTGGGTTACTGACTCTGATCCTCGTGAGGTGACAGACTCACATGAGAGGCGTCTTGTGCTCTCTAGAGAGCATTAATAGCTCCATTTATGACGGAGTGTGGAGAACATGGAAGTGATAGGGTGGGCTGAAGGGGGAGAAACTCACCAGAGCATTCAGAGGCAGCACAAGGAAGGCACTGTGAGCAATAACCCAAAGGTTACAAACATTCATTCATGGCGAGCAAACTCAGTTAGCAAGAACCCTTGACAAGGACTTAAGCACACAGTTACGGACTGCCAGACGCTGAACCTACAAAACTCTTCTCCTTTTGTATTTGAGCACCTACCCTGTGCCAGACACCTTGGTACTAAAGACACAACCATGAACAAGACAAGGTCCCTGCCCTCATAGAACTTAGGTTGAAGTACAAAAGAAAGATAATTAATTAACAAGTAAGCAAGTTATTGCAACAAAATAGAGCTAGCTGTTCCAACGCTCCCCTTAGGCACATTCAAGCCGAAACATCCTATACATTTGATCATGCCTTAATGCAAGTAGGTGAAACATATAAGTAGATAAAACACTTTCCTCCAGACTGGAACCAAATCAGCCCAGCCCGTACTTACAGTCAGAGTGAAGTCGTAACAGTCAGGGAGCTCGTGATGACGAATAGTCTGCAGATTAATGGCCTTCAGTTTAAACATCAGCTCCACTGTTAGGAGTCTAGGAAACAGAAGAGACTTCAGTGCAGTGAAAACATGCGCCCACAAACATGAGTCACGCTCCCGCCTGCCTCCCTCACCTGTGAAAGTCCAGTGTTAGGTTGAGTTTATTTTCTTCTGGTGTTCCAATGTAAAAAGATTCATCTGGCTCCACGGAGAAACATTCTGCCACAGAAAGGAACAAAACATAATACTGCGGCCAAAATACACAAAACTACATCTTGGGAAGATAATATATATATATTCAAAACTAAATATTCAGATTCTAGTACTTTTCTGAATTAAGATTTTAAAGGTTAGACATCTATACCGACCTCTTGTTTACAATGACTCATTTGTTTTTAAGACATAAGTGGCTACATTTCTGCAGTGGGTGGGAGTGGAAAAAGTTCTGAACCCGATCTCATTAGTCTTCTATAGAATGCTATCTTCCCTCCTGGCCTTTAAATCTAAACTTGGAGACCTTCCTCCTTTTTTTTTTTTTAATTGTATCTAAACAGGCTTGAAGCACTTGCAGTGTCAAAGAAAAAATTTTTCTAAGCATAAAGGATCTACTTTTTTAATATTATGTGCTGACTATTTTTCCTCAGTCAGCATTTTTAAAGGAAAATAGCATCTTAGAAGGTTTTCACTAATCAGTACTATAATATTTTACTATTCCTCTCCCAAAAAAA